TCCCGATCCACCTGCCTGCCTAACCAGACCTCTGAAATATGAGTCCAAGATGCTCAAGTCCCCCCTACTGAGCCCCTGTCCTACCTCACACTGGGACACAAGGCACTTTGTGTACAACTCCCGGGGCTGCCCTTGTGTTACCTGTGAATGACAATGCCCTGAATACTCCAAATGGTGGCCATTCACTGGATCACCACGAGGTGGCGTCCCCTTGGCTTTAGACAGAAAGCCCAGTAGCTGTTTCTAGACCTTCCCTGAGCATAGAAGGATGTGGAGTCAGGATGTGGAAGGATGTGCAGGATGTGGAGTCAGCGCATTGAGGAAGGCAGGTGGGACAGCCCCCACCCGCTTTGGACACAGGCTAGGGCTCCCTCTGTTCGGGGCCGTCTTTCTCTGGAATGGAAGAGGGGATGAAGGAGTTGATTTGGAACTGTGGGAAATGACCTCCTGAGGGGCAATGGAGGCATTGTGGGCTTCAGACCATGCATACTCTGGACAGAAGGTTGCATCTGCCTCTGGATTGTTGAGTACATGGGTTCCCAACCCCTCAGCTATTCCAGTCTCAAACACTCTGCCTATTTGTCTTCTCTACAGGACCTCTAGGTCAATTGCTAACTTAATGATGAGCCCCAGAGGAGCTCTGTTCCCTCAGCAGAGCCCACCCCCTGCTGCTGGGCACACCTGGCCAGCCTGAATCACTGGCAAGGGAATACTAAGTGGCCCAGCTGCATGGCAGGCAGAGAAATGTTGTCACAGGGCCAAGGCGCCTGACTTGAAATCCCAGATCTGCTATTTACTGTGTGGCCTTCGGTGAGTTACTTAATCTCTCTGTGCCTCTGTTTATTCATGTGCAGAACAAAGATTTTAAACCTAACTCGTAGGGTGTTTCTGAGGAGTAAATGGTTTTATACCTCACCCTTAGGACTCATGCTTTGGCAATTCTAAATACTCAGTGAAGACAAGCTGCTATGTTATGGGGTCAGGTCTAGGGAAGACAATCATATGGCCAGGAGACAGGAGAAGTACACTAGTAGATATTAAACTCCATCATAGGTGCCAAGCACTCTGCAGATGTCTTATTTAATTACAGTGGTTCTCCCTTATCTGTGGGGATATATTCCAAGACACCCAGTGTACGCCAGAACTGTAGATGGTTCTGAACCCTAAACATACCATGCTTTCTCCTATACTACCTATGAGAAAGTCTAATTTAGGTAAGAAGCACAGTAAGACATTAACAACAATACCAAAATAAAATAGATCAATTGTAACAACATACTGTAATACAAGTTATGTGAATGCGGTTTCTCTCGCAAACTATCTAACTGTACCCTATGATTTCCAGACTGCAGTTACCCACAGGTAAATGAAACTAGGGAATGTGAAACTGCAAATAAGTGGGATTACTGTAACTGCTCACAAGAACAGAGGGGAACTGTTATCCCCCCTTTTTTCAGGTCAGCAGCCTGAGTGGTAAAGTGCCCAGCTGGATTCAGCATCTGAGCTAGGCAATTCCAGACACCAGGCCCTTCTCTGCCTCTTCTGAAAGTCTTACAAGAGCTTCCCACCTCTGAAATCCACTTACTGTAGAATTGGACCCTTGAGACTGCCTTGGGATGCTGAGTACATTTGTCCAATTCCTACTGCAATGGAGATCTGCATGCACAAATAAGCACGGGGAACCAAATAGTTCAGAGCAGATTTGATGGTTTCATGGGGGTGGGGCCTAAATTCTTTCCGACTTGCTGTTGGATGATCTGTGTGTTGGTCTCATCTTCATGGATCAAGATGGATCACAGTCAGTGGGAGGGGGGAAATGCATCTCCTTTCTCTTAAATGCAGGAGCCAGAGGTTACATTATCTTGCACATCTCTCATTAACCAGAATTTAATTATGTGGCCACATCAAGCTGCAAGGGGCACTGGGAGGAGTCTCTATTCCGGGGGACTATGTATCCAGCTCAACAATGGGGACAATGGTGCCACCAATTTCTCTCATTCACTTATGGTTCTTATCCGCCACCTACTTTGCCAGGACATCCTGATGCATCCCCATTCCTGACCCTGTTCCCATAGGGTCCTGTCTTCTATCCCACTGATGCCACTGTGGCCTGGGCCCTTACTGCTTCCTATCTTCAGTCTCATCAGAACTTTCTGATAGCCCTGCCTGCAGTCTCTCTCTCTTTATGCAGCCTCCTTCTGTGACCATGCTAAGGTGCCAATCTGATCATCTGACTCCCCACTGCCCACAGCAACAAGATTTTAACTGCAGATTTCTGAATCCTTTAATTTACATGCAAATTTTGCACATATGTGCATTTTTCTCAAGTGAATTTCAGTCTTTCAAGGGGGTATCTGATTCCCCCTCAAGTTAGAGGCTCATGTCCAAATTCCTAATCTCAACACACGTGGGAGATGTGTCTACCACCTTTTCACATCTCCTCTCTACTTACTTACCCCATGGAAGACACGCTGAAGTCACTTTGAATTCTCTCCAGTGCCTAGACAGGCCATGCCTTCTCACATTCTGTGCCTTTATGTCTGCTGTTTTCTGTAGAATGCCCTGGCACAAAACTCCTACAGTTCCTTATAGCTTAGTTCAAAAGTCACCTGCTCTGTGAGGCTTCCCTGAATTCCTCTGCCAAGTTTATCTCCACAGCACTATTCACCCTCTGTTACTCATCCTGCTCCATCGTCATTGTCAGCGGACATCTCTCTCCTCTACCAATTCATGCTCCAATTCTGGAGTCCACAAGATGTTTGTGGAATAAATGTCATCCATGCCCCCCAAACTGGACTACTCTTTCTAAAATGTAAGTCTGAGTGATACTTTGTATGTGCCTATTTCCTTTAAGTCCAACCTAGTCACAGTGGCTTTCTCTCTGGCCTCATCTTGCCATCTTCCTTTTATTCTACTCTGGGAACACTGAAGTTCTTTGTTTTTTTTTTAAAGATTTATTTATTTATGTATACAAGAACGGGGTACAGGCCAGAGGTGTGGGCGGTGAGAGGATTCACCAGACAAAGCAGGGATCAGAACAGGCAGATCTACTGAAACATACTGCTGAAGGGAGCAGCAGGAGAGTCAGGAGAGGTTTGCTGCGCCATGAGGGTTGCTCCCTGGCTGGGGATCGAACTCGTGCTGCAGTGGCTGCAGATAGATTCATAGGTTGTGTCTTAACCCCTTGCGCCACCAGGGAGGCCCCTGAAGTTCTTTTTATGTCCTAAATCAATGTTCACCTATTTGTTGGCTTTATGTGTGCCTCTTTCTTTGTTCCTCTTTGCCTGGCTAATGCCTATTTATGTAGAGGGGCCAACGTTGCTTCAGGATGCCTCAGGAAGCCTTCCTGGAACCCCACCCTCCCCTCAGACTAAGTAGAAGGTCTGACCTGTGTCTCCATAGGACTTGGTACTTCCCCAGTCACAACAGGCCTACTGAGCCAGATGACATGTTTATTCCGTTCCCCACTAAACTGTATGTCCTGTGTCTACCTTGCCCAGCAGTATGTCCCCAAGTTCAAACACAGTACTTGGACCAGAGTACTTGTCTGTTAAAAGAATTAGATGACTGAATTCCTCATTCATAAATCTGGTTTTTACTGCCTTTCCATTGCCTTTAGAGCAAAGTCTTATCATGGCCTGAGGGCACATTATGATGTGGGCCCCCTGTATTTTCTGCCCCATCTCTTTCAAACCCAAACTTTGATCTCAGCATCTCACTCAAATTCTACATGACAGCCCTACTGAACTAAATAATGGTCTCTGAATGCCTGCTCTCCCATCTTTCAGCATTGGCAGTACTGGCTTCTGCTTCTGCTTCTGCTTCTGCTTCTGCCTCTGCACTCATCTCTCTTTCCTCTCCCTTTTTTAGCTAACATCCATTAATCTTTAAGTTTTCCATTCAGAGAACTTTTCCTCCAGGAAGCCTCCCTTGATTTCCTAAGACCAGCTCTGATGCCCTTTAATGGTGTACCTGAAGTATCACTTCTGGTCATTCTTTTTCCCAAGTAGATGGCAAGGTGGCAGGCTGCTGCACTGTCACTACGATGTCTCTACTGCAAGCCCAGCACCTACACAGCAGGCACTCTGGAAATATTTGTGGAATGAACTGTGCTACCTGATTCTGTTTCTCTACTGTTGGCATGTGTCCTGTTTTCCAACAACAAACTGCCTCTATGGTGGCAGTGAGGGAAGCTGAAGTGTCTGTGGTCCTCTCCACAGGGCTGAACAACATATCTGCCTTCAACTTGATTTACGTTGCTTGGAGGCTGAGATGTCAAGCACTTAACAAATCAGTGTTAATCAATGGAACATTGACTTAGAGTCCAGGAAGCCTGGTTTGGGGGTCATGATAACCTTCAACACTGCTTTTGTAGTGGGGCCAAAGTTGTTTTCTAAAAGCTGGAACAGTGTCCGGCACCTGGCTGACTTCAAAAGATGTTTGTTGAATGAATTCTAGAGCCAAGGGACAATGACAAGGAAGCAGACTCTGCTTGTATATCTCAGCAGGTTCTTCACTCAGACATTTCAACAGAATGATTATAAGGGATGTCATATGTTCACATTCTGTGCTAAAGATTAAAAGAAAATTATTTAAAAATCCCCAAAAGGATGGACAATCAATTTTTATGACTCAGCGGCCTCAAAATCTAAGAAAATTATATTCCTTTCTCTGGTCAATGAGCTGTTTTTAATAGCTGAACTCAAATGAAATGATTTTTAAAGTTAACCAAACAAAAGTTGCCACCCTAATCTAAGATGTAGAAATAGACCTTAAGTTGGTCACATAAGATGTGGACTCCCTACCACTGTCTACAAAGACACCCTAACAAACAAGAACCACACTGTAAATTACCAAAAGCCAAGAGCAAAGAACAAAGAAACTTTGAGGCAAAAGATTGACAGGCTGCATTTTAATATAAACAGTCAGGACAGGTGTCAGCCTCCTTTGGGAACTGGTTAGAAATGCAGTGTCTCAGGCGCCCCCCCCACACCCCCACCCCCACCCCCGGCTTCACACTTCTGCATTCTAACACGATCTTCAGTCGATTTGTATGCACATCAAAGTTTGAAAAGCACTGGGGTAGAACATTTCTTAGTGTAGATTTTGCTCTTAAAATGTGCTTTGCGGTCAAATAAACACATTTAAAGCATTTTTAGCTCATTATTTCCTCCATTCTCTCCACCTTGAACTACTCTGTCACACGTCAGCATCCTGCTCTGGGATTTGGATCCTTTCTTGTGAATCACAACAGCATATAGAAATTTGCTGCCCCATTTCTCTAGTCTTTATGGATCGCAAATTGGATTCCAAAACTTCTATCAGCTGTTCCTTGTAGAACTCCCCCCAGGGGGTAGGCTGTATGCTAATTGCCATTTTTAGAGATGATTAAACTAAGGCTCAAAGGAGTTTGTGATTCATTTAAGGGGCACCAAGCAAATTGGCACCTAGGTCAAAATGAGAACTCAAGCTTTTGAGTTTCCAATGTGAGGCTCACAACTCAACTTTGATAACTTTTCTTTTTATATGAGGGGGATTTTTTTTCTCATGAGATTTTAAGAACAAATTCATAGATCACCTGCGTGCATTACTGATTATGAACCATGCACATGTGGGCCCCTAGGGTTACAGAAGCTTAGGAAAAAGCTGTCCAATGAGCTGTCAGCCCAGGGTGGGCTGGCCTGGCGTGGCTCCCACACGCTTGCTACAGCCCAGACTGGCAGGTTCTGCAATCAGGAACCCCAGAAACCTCAAAGCCTCATGGGGGCTCATAGTTTGCTCATAAAGGCTATGTGGGGACAGATCAGTCTTAATCACGAAGACTTGGATACCGTGATGGCGGAAGGTATGGCCGCTGGATGACAATAGCCGATCCCAGGAAGAAGCTCTCCATTTGTTTCAAATGCAGAGCAGCTCATGTATCTGCCTAAACATGTGGTGTGCTTCACTAGATTGAATTTCCTGACTAATTCCAATTTTCCTGGTGCAAATTGGAGCCACTCGATGACTTGGCAACAGTCGAGACTGTGCATCTGGCCATCGATGACAATATGCTCCTGCCTCCCTTGTCTGAACTTCAGAACTCTATGTCAACCTCAGCTAAACAAAGATCCCAAGTGGGGTCTGCTTAGTTTCACCTGTCTGCATGGTGATTCTCCTAGGGTCCTCTAGAGGATGATTGCCAGGAAGGCTGCTTAAAATTTCCCTCATCCTCTCTAGACATGCATATTCAGCGAAACATATTCATATATAATGGATTACAAAATAAAAAGATGGTGCACTTTAAAATTTCTTGTAAAAAGTATTGCTTTGCTAATGTGCTCTTGCTTGCCTGCTGGCTACATGGTGCTACAAAGGGTAGAGTCACAAGGAATTCAAGGCTGAAGATATTTGGGATTTTTTTGACAACACCAATGAACCCTCTACCTTGCACCCTGCTCTGTAGCTCCAGTAGTTTGGGGGCTTGGCCTAAGGCGAAAACTACAAAGCTTCCTAATGAGCAGAATTATACAACAGGAATGTATGTGCATATTTGACATAGTTTCTTCTCTGGAGGGGTGGCCTTCTTGGTTTGACCCATGCCCTCTCCAAGGGCGAGGAGGAGTCCAGAGAAGGAGCCTTTTGTTCCAAGCTGCCAGTTCTTCCACCGCCCCTATGACTCCAGGGACCTGCCCTGCTCTGCGTGGGCCCGCAGAAGCCCGGCAATTTCCACATGGGCGGGTGATTTCAGAACGATGGACAAAGCTGTTTGACCAGCCTACAGGGGAGAAAAAGAGAAACCAATTTTATCCTGTCTACCTCCCACCCCAGAGAGAAAGAGTGAGTTGGGAGTAGGGGTACCCACAGGGTGCAAAGTCAATTCCAAGTATCCAGAGACCCTAAGAGAGGAGATTCGAAGGACATGAGGACCATGAGAAACAGCCATTTGCGCAAAAACAGCATTCACTCTGGGAAATCTGTGCCAATGGACATAAAGAAATGTTGCTTCATTTTTGATCCTTTCATTTTTAATTGGAAAACAGAGAAAAGAAAATAACTGTCATTATTCCCTAAAAGTAGCGTGTCACTAATGACAGGGATATGATCTCAGAAATTGGTCTGAGGGGATCCTGTCCTCGTGCCAATGTCACAAAGTGTAAGCACACAGGTCTGGAGAGCACGATCCACTGGACACCTAGGCTCTGTGGTCACGCCTATTGGGACTACCTTCGTCTACGTGGTCAGATGTCGACCAGAATGTCCTTAAGCAACACATGATGGCACATGGAGCCAAATGAAAGTTAGCATTTTGATGTATTTCCCTCCAGTCTTTTCTCCTATAAAATTCACTACTGGTTTTTAAATGGGAATGATAGTACATACTGATTTTGAATTTTCTTTAATTTTTACCTTACCATGGCATCCCTTGAGAATTTTTTAAGGTTCTTACACAGTCGTAATATATAGTTTTCCTTATTGGCTGTATCATATTCCATATCTTGTGGAACTGCTTCTCTTCTATGGGAGATTTCTGTTGTTTGCATGTCATCACCAGAAACTCAGTGCAGAAAGCATTTTCCCATTTCTAATTATTCCTTAAGGGCCAAGGCGTAGAAGTAGGCTCACAACATGGGAGGACATGCAGATTTTAACACCCTCAAGCACGATACTATAGTGCTGGCTACACCCCCAGCAATGCAGGGAAGGGTTCTGGGGAGGCCTGCCGAGTCTCCGACAGATTGCTGAGGTGAAGGGTGATTCAGTGGATGCTGGACTTGGTGAGGACTTGTGAGTGGGCACAATCCTGTAGCCAGAATTGTGATATATGAAAAGTGCCGAAAGCCACTTTTCTGTTAACTCACTTGGAAGCAAAACTCAAACTGAGGGTAATAGTGATCCTTATTTAACTTAGTTAGTGTGGATATGAATATTTTTACATTTTGCTGCATAAATATTCATGGTTTGATAATGTTGGGGACATCCGAGACTCCATTAGATTGTCTCTACTGTTCATGGGGAGATCTATTTCCTATGATGGGAAAAATGCACAGAGGCAGGTGGGAAGTAGTCACATTCAGTTTTGAACTCTCTAATTTTTTCTCTGTGCAGGATGGAGTTTGGATGCCGTCGGGACTCCATACCATGTAAGTATAATGCATAACAAAAAGTCAAAGAAGCTGGAAAAGAACAGTGAGCTTAAGGGAGAAGATGACTCGTGTGTGTGTGTGTGTGTGTGTGTGTGTGTGTGTTTGTGTGTGTGTGTGTGTGTGTGCAGGAAGCAGAGGGAGAAAAGGCATTTTAGATCAGACCCCAAAGGACGGCACATGGACTTCACAAAACATGTAATTCTTTCCCTGAAAAGGCCTCACGGCCTCTGTACTTTCCTTTAACCACCCTGTATATAAGTTGGTATTTGTGGGGTTATTTAATCTCCATCTCCACTGAGTCAGGCCCTGGATCTGGCCTGTGTTAACAATAGAAAACACAGCCCAAAATGGAGTCCTTTGTACCAGCCTCCACCCAGACTTAACATCTGTTATAATTTCAACCTCTCCCCAAAATATAATTCTAAACCAATCAATCTGAAGTTTCCCAGTCAGCGCCCACGAGGTCACCTGCATGATAAGAGCCCCTCCCCTCCACTGTCTTCCTCTTGTTCCACCTTCTTTCTATTTTGTGTGAGCCTTGCAATATCTTGCTGCCTGATTCACAAGTCACTGAAAAAAGCAATTAGATCCCTAAATTTGTGAATTTTTTTTTAACACATTTTCCCTGGGCCCAGCATGGACATCCCAGCCCCTGGCCCTGCGCCTCCTGTCTGGTCAGCACTCAGTGAACACTTGAGAGGGGCTGCTGGATGGTAACAACAAGGTATTTGTTTCAAGTTGATGAAGAACCTGAGCAACCTAAATCCTATTGAGTATTTTCTGAGATCGTGCAAATGTGCAACAAAGCAAAGATTTCAACAGAGTCATCTTGTTGAAAGTTCCCCAGGGAGGGGCCTGGGTGTAGTTGTGTCTTTCCCCTTGCACTCTGGATTCCACGGCTGCGCTCTGTCACCCTGGGGCTGTCTGTAAACATGAAGATAGTGTGATTATCCTTATTATGGGAGAGATGCTCAGGGCCGTCTCCAGGGAGAGCACCTGTTCCAGCAGGGCCATCTGGAGAGAACAGCCTGTGTCTGTGGCCCCTGCAGGCAGATAAGGAGAGAGAGGCACTCCATTCAGCTCAGAAAGCATAGCTTGAAAGACCTGGGGAGGGCCTGTCCCTTAAGTGTTGTCTACCACAGCCCCCAGGAACAAGCCCGGGGGTAGCTGGAGTGGGAGGCAGGTGTGGCAAGTCCCTGCTCGGCCACCCTGTTGGCCTGCAGACAGGGAGGGACCACACAGCCAGCAAGCCTGCCTGTGTGTCTATGTGGGGTCGTTTTTCACTATGAAAAGGACTCCCCGGGAACACACTATGTATCAGGCAAAGATGAGCAGGGCAGTCTCTGCCTTAAGAAGCTTTCAATTTGATGGGTCCATTTGGAGAGGTTGTCCTTCAAAAGGTGAGCCTCTGGGGTTCTGACCACCTCCCTGTAGCATCCCTGTCCTGTCACCCTGGCAGTCCCCAAGAGGCTGGGTGGTAGATTTCTGAAATTATCTTCTAAACCTTGGGAATATGCCTTGTGGCTGTCCTGTATTTATATCGACCTCTACAGGGTGGTAGGATGAGAGAAATCAATTTCAGGACATGAATTCTTTCTCAGTTTCCAAAGGAATTTCCAAATAATTCCTGCATCTAGGCCCCCATAGGAAAGATGAATACTGAAATGATAGGGTGATGATGAAAAGAACCCCGCCCTTCAATGTAAAGGCAGGGTGCAAAATTTGGTGTCTGGTAGGTCCCAGCCAGCAGTTTCCATCACCAGCTGGAATCTACCCAAGTCACCCTCAGGAAATTTGGGTGACCCAAGAAGGCAGCAGATTACTGGGCCATGCTGGAGTCTAGAACCACCCCCCATGGGCCTACTACCCAACCCACCTTATTACCTCTGCTCACCAGGTGTCCCCACACCCTCACCACCTTCTCTACAGCAGGATTCATGCCAACTCCCGCTTAGTAGTCCAGTTCCTCCCTCCTAAGCTTTGATCACCCCCGAACTGCTGACTCAGTCCTGGACCCCAAGTCTAACTTTTCCTGTCCCAGTGCTCACCTGAGCTGACCATGTAATCCCACCTGGATTTCAGCACTTGCTTACACCAGGGTTTCTATAATGAGAGGCTGGGTCAGATAATTTGTATTTCTTCACTGTTTCTGTGTGTTGTAGAATATTTGTATCATCCCGGGCCTTTATCCAAGAGATGCCAGGGGCCACCCCCAACATTTGTAACAAGTGAAAATGTCTTCAAACATTGCCAAGTGTCCCCTGAAGGGCAAAATCACCCCTGCATGAGAACCACTGGATTAAATCAAACACCTCAACCAGTTTCTTGTTTAGGGGGTCAGTCTCTGATTGGCTCCCCTAATTCCAGACCTATATCCTCCCTACGCCCTTCAAACATAACCTGCAAATACCCAGGTTCTTACTGGTTCAGTGATGGCTGTTCCTAGAGTCTCCTCTGTTTACCATCTGTTACCATCAACTGAGCACTTCCTTCACGAACATTAGCATATCTAGGTATGGCCCACAACCACCCCCATTTTATGAACTGAGCATACAGGACTCAGCATGGTTAGGTGAACCCAGTTTCAGATGCATGAGAGCTTAAAGTCCACGCTTCTAATAATCTACCTGTCTGAGTAGAGTAGAGCCCTCCCGTCACAGCTGGTCCTCTACCTCTTGAAAGTAGCCACGAGCCCTCTCTTATCTGGGACTGACTTCTGACTCTCAGCCTGTTATCCCAGCTCTCCAAAGACAGGCAAAGCAATGTCCTGCCTGTCGACCTGCCTGCTTCACAGGCTTCCCTGGGCAACAGCTGTGGTCGCTGCCAAGAAGGCCCTGGGTGGGTTCCAAATAAGAGGCTGTCTACTTCTGCCCCATGGTGCTCATTAGCATGGATCCCTTTGTCGGACAGCACATTGAGCACATTGAGCACATTGTCTGGAAAAGGTGGCTCTTATTTCTAGCAGCCCACCACTGTCCCCACAAGCATTTCAAGAGGGTCTGTGCTATCCAGCTCAGAAATGACTCTGGGTGTACATCTCTAGGGTGCAAATGTGGCTGGTAAGATGTGGCACAGAGCTCTCCCTGTGCAGGGAGGGCACTTGTTTCTGCACCCCAGGCCTTTGTTCCCTCTCAACTGTGGATATTCAGAATGTACAGACAGTGGGGTAGATGGTGAGAGAAACTGGTAAAGGGGGTTAAAAAGTAAACACTTTCAGTTATAAAATAAATAAATTCCAGGGGTACAGTGGACAGCATGGTGAGGATAGTTAATAATACTGGATTGCACATTTGAAAGCTGCTAAGAAAGTGGATACAAAAGGTTCAGATCACAAGGAAAAAAAAAAACTGTAACTCTGTTTGGGGGTGGATAATAACTTGACTTATGGTATGGTCATTTTCCAGTATGTACAAATATCAAATCATTATGTGGTACACCTGAAACTAATATGATGCTGCATGTCAATTGCAGTTCAATTTTTAAAAAGAATACATAGAAAAGTGTGCTTCGAGTATTCTAGGATCAGAATTCAGACCTGAGTTAGAATCCCTGCTCTTGAGGGTCAGCAGCTGTGACCTTACAACAGACACATCAATGCTCTAGGCCTCTGTTTCCTTGTCAGTAAAAAAATGGGGGTCGCAACATTTACCTCGCTGGATTATGGAGAGTATTAGTGAGGTAATGTTTCTATGAGTACCCTAGAAAGAGAACTTACTGTAATTATCAGTGATGGGATCCTGTCCTGACAATGTATCTCTAGAGTTGAGGGGTTCATTCACTATGGCACTATGGCAGACCCTCTACCAGCTACTGGGGATTCAGGGAACCAGAGATTTGGACCTGGGAGGTGACGAGAGTGATAGGTGTGGCCTTTGAGAGTTTGGGCTTAGGAGTTTGCTGGAGCTGGGTGCCACTAGCTGTGTGTTCTTGGGCATGTCACTTAAACACTCAATGCTTCCATGTGTTCATGAGCAAACGGAGTCAACCTCATAAGGTGGTTACAGGATTTTGATGAGGTAGCCAAGGTAAATGCTAAGCACACTGCCTGGCACAGAGCAGAGACTCAAGTGCTTCAAGCCTTCATTATTGTCATCACCATCACCATCACTGTCACTGTACAAGGAGCTAATTGAAGAAGCATTGTGTCCAGCATTGCAACTTCAGGCAGGCTGAACTGATGAAATGGGCCACTTTCTAACGTGGGTCACTGTTGGTGGGTGGACACAATTTGCCCTTGGCTCTTTCATGCAGCCTTTTAAGAGTTCCCAACATGCTTCCTGGTCCAAAAGGCTGCCTCAAAGCCCATATGCTGTTCTTGCCATGACCAGATGAGGCTCAGAGCCAAGGCTTGGCCTGGGTATATCCCCTCAGGATACTGCAAAAGTCTTAGGGTTTGGGGTTTTTAAACTCCAAGGCTCTAAGCATTTACCAAGGATCATCTCATTAAAATCCCATAACATCCTTGTGAGGTCGATTCTATCTTCACTGCCATATAACTCCTTAAAGTTTTCTGGCTGGCAAGGCCTTTTTCAGGAAGGGAAGTGAAGCACCTACTTGTTAACCACCTATCAGTCTCACCTTGTCAATTAGGCTGCTGTCACAGGCTGGATGTGCCAGAAGCAGCCTCACCATGTCGGCATTGCCATGGTGACAGGCCAGCATGAGGGCCGAAGATCCATCATGGTCTTGCAGGTTGACATCTGCCTGGCAGCTCAGTAGTGCTTGGACCATGTCCTCCCGGTCGTGGCTAACTCCCAGCATCAGCGCAGTCTGGCCTCCCTACATGCAGGGCACAGGGTACGCTGAGGTCGCTGCTGACAAATGAAGGTTCCCCACTGCCCCAAATATGCTCAGGAAAGGCTTCCCCAGAAAATGACCCTTAATCTGCATCACCTCCTGCCCAGGGTATGGGACACATCCTTCTCCACCCAGCAAACTTCTACTCCTCTTCCAAGATAACTAGTCAAATGCCACATCCTCTCTAGAGCCTTCTATCAACTCCCCAGCATAGGATTAATAACCCAGAGCTTAGCACATGGGTGTCAACCTGTCAATCTCTCTCTTCCTCGTGGACTGTCAAATTTTTGATGGCAAGGACTAAGACTTTTTCATCTCTCTCTCCCTGATACCTAGCACCAAGTATGTGCTGAGAAATAGTAATAAAGATTTAAGTGAAGGGTTGACTGCACCAAGACCACGGCTCCTTCCTGCCCGCCCAGCCTAAATTCCTCCAGGACGTCTTGGTCTACTCTACATACTGCTGATATTTTCAGGGTAGGAATACCCAGAACTTTCTTGTCTCATCAAGACCTCTGTTTGCATAGTTCTGAGGTCATTTCTAGCCCACAGCCATTGACAATGATTTTACATCTCTGTGACTACTGGTGGACCTGGCAGTGCGTTAGTCAGCAAGTGAGACAGAGCTCTTGTGTTGTTTCCCAGGGCATGACCCTGGCCATGTCCTCTGTCCTCCCTGAATCTTAGTGGTTTCACTGGTTTTTGCTTTTCCATAAAAATTAATATAACAACTTATACTATATACCTCACAGGGCTTTTTTGGGAATCAGATGAGATGTAGCATGTCAGTTTAATAATCTATGGAAGTCATTTTTTTTTATTACAAAGTGGTCATCATTTCTCACAGCTCAGCTTTCCCACAGAAACATGTAGTCCTCTCATATGTCTTGATTATATTTTGTTCTCATGGATCCCCTGCATTCCAGGCAGGGCAAGCTTGACTATCTGGGTGTCAGGCTTTGGAAGGTTGAGAAAATGAGGCAGACTGTTTTCTCTGCTTTCAGATCCCCTGTGGCTCTGAGCACAGAGTTTTACACGGAAAAAGCGCCAAGGACATGGGTGCTGATGTGTTAACTGATTATAGCTCCAACCTGCAGCCACTGATGGATTATGTTTCCCTGCTCAGAAACCTGGGATGTAGCGGAAAGAAAGGGGATTTGCAGCCACAAATATCCCAGCTCTGCAATTACCCATGTGAATCCAGACAAGTAAACTTCTGTGTTCTCAAGAGACACCCCAAAACCTGATTTGCTTTGCTCATGATTAAGGCGAAACACCTGTAGGGGTCCCCCAGCTGAGTCAGCCCGCAAGGGCCTTCTCAAGGAGCTAACAATGGGAACACTGACTAGAGTGCAGACGCAATCTGCCTGGTTCTGACTGAGACGTGGATTACAAGCTCATTGACCTCTCTCCCAGTCTGTCTGGGTCTCAGAAATCTTTGAGGAAACCAAATGCTCAGGCTCTGGACAGATACCATTTAGAGCACCCAACCTTCTTAGGTTAAAAACTACATGAGGGATGGGCCTCCCCGGTGGCGCAGCGTTTGAGCGCTGGGTTGCAAAGCTGCCTGCAACCTCTGCAGCGCCAGTTCAATCCCCGGTTGCTCCCCGGCCACTGAAGGAGGGTCCCACATGGCGCGCAGACCTCTCCTGCCGCCCGCTGCTCCCCTCAGCAGTGTACTTCGGTCCTTCTGCCTGCTCTGCTCCCCGCTCTGGCTCTGGTGAATTCTCTCACTCTCCCATGCTTCCGACTGTACCCAGTGCTTGTATGTATAAATAAATAAATAAATCTTTAAAAAAAAAAAAAAAAAAAAAAACTTCATGAGGGGCCTCCCCAGTGGCGCAACAGTTGAGCGCTGGGTTGCAAAGCTGCCCGCATCCTCTGCAGCGCCAGTTCAATCCCTGGCCACTGGGCGAGGGTCCCACAAGGCACGCAGACCTTTCCTGCCGCCCGCTGCTCCCCTCAGCAGTGTACTTCATCAGTCTGCCTGTTCTGTTCCCCACTCTGGCTCTGGTGAATTCTCTTACCCTCCTGCGCTTCTGACTGTACCCAGTGCTTGTATAAATAAATAAATAAATAAATCTTTAAAAAAAAAATAAAAAAACTCGACATGAACCTGCATGTAATTTCTCACCGTCCTGGTAGAATAAAACTGGGCAGCCCTGCATTTATCAAGGGGAGTTCTATCTACACCTCCTACCTGAGTAGCTTGGATGTTCACGTTTCCTTCTCGTAAGAGCCTCCAGACAACAGCCATGTCTTCATCAGTCTCCGCAGAAGCCAAGGGAGTGATCATCACGGGGGTATAGCCAGCTTTATTTTGATGGTCCACACCGCAGACACCTGCAAAGAAGCAATGAGTGCAGGGTATCTCCCAAGGGGGAGAGACTCTGCATTAGCTATCTCAGCGGGGCGCTGTCTGCTGGATAAAGGCCACAGAACAGAGCGAATGATTACCGTGATGTAATCAGCACTTTACATTTTTCGTAGCCTTTAAAACTGGCTACTTTTCTTTACAAGTGTTATAGGTCATCCAGCAAGGAAGGTCCACAGCAGAGTCAGAGATAGCCAAGAAAGTCAATGAACATGATTTGATTCCTCAAATGGAGCACAAGACATTATTCCATTTTACAGATAAGGACGCTGTAAGATATTCCATTTTACAGATAAGAACACAGTGAAGCTCCATCAAGTGCTCAAGTGAAGTGGAATCACAAATCCATGAAGAATTGAAACCCAGTAGAATCGGCTCAATGTTAGAACTATAGCTTCACCTTTCTTGATGATGTGGGAAGCAGAAAGAACTTTAAGCTATTGCTATGTAAGTTCCTTTCAAGTGAAGAGCCTCATGCCTACTTGAAGGAATTTTGAAGACCTGTAAATTTACTAGAATTTAACCTAGCACCCAGGAGTCATTCACCTGCTCGCTCATCTCACATATATATTCACTCAAAACCTATTATGAACCAGGAACTGGCCTAAGTACTGGGGATACTAAAAGGAATGAGACAGATTAGAATCCCCTTTGACAGAGTTACCTGAGCTCTGCTGCGTAGAAAGGACAGGCAGAAATCATCTAGAGAAAGTGTTCCCTGAAAGAGAGTCCCTGTACAGGAGTTCCCCAGAAGTCTTCTGGGGAGCTGAACTGAGTTGTGATGGGAATGGTGAAAAGTAGCCAGTCATGAGAAGAGTTCCAAAGGCCCCAAAGAGGGCAGACTCGGTGAGTTTGAAGCCATGTGGCTGGAGTGGCGGGCAGGAGGCGAGCATGGTGGTGGCATAGACGGCACAGGCAGTCAGAGTCAGGGCATTCGGAGTTCTTGAAGGCCAGGTTAAGGAAGCCCCCTTCCTTTCTAAGAGCAAGCCATGGCGGGATTTAAGCCAGGGGAGGCAAGATCCAAGTGGGGGAAAAGCTGTTGGATTCGGAATTCAGACTTCCTGATGCCCATTTAAACTCCAACCCCCTGGCTTCCTAAAATAAGGCTTACAGATCTACCCCAAATTGAATTATCCTTTCTGCTTTTCCCACACCTGTTCTATTTCATCTTCTTAGTCATCTGAGCTTGACACATGAGAGTGCTCCGGCTCCCCTACCCCTCACAGCCAGTCAGTCATGAACTCCCGGATGACGTTGTACCCGTCTGTTCTTACTATCCTCATCCACTGAAGCCGTCACCTCCTCTCTGTGGACCCCTACCCAGAGCTCCCATCTATCCTGCCTCGCCCTGCCCTTGATCCCTCCACTAGCCCACTCCTACCATCGAATGAACCTTCACAAAGAATGCCCCTGGTTATGATGCCCCCTTAACTGAACTCCTCTGGTGACTTCCTGGTGCTTCTGAATACACTTCACATTATTCTGCCTGGCACTCAAGGTCCTCTGAGCTGGGGTTTCAACTTACCCACCAGCCTTAAATCATATCCAAAACCCAAAGCCTTCTGTTATCCAGTTTTCCTTTCTCAATCTCCCCAGTGTTCTCTCTTGGGACTTTTCTCTGCTTGCTAGACCCCTATCTGCTTCAGTGCCCCTTTCCTGCTCTCAGAATTGGACATAATCTCACTTCCTGCGAGTCCTGAAATCATATTCTGTACCTCTCCCTTATGAACCACTATCCTGCTCCTCCCTGACTACCAGACAGTAAGCTCTTGGGGAACAGAGAGGCCTCCTACTTGGCTCACCTTCACATCCCTGGTAGTAGCCAACATGGACTTCATAATTAACCCCCAAATATCTGATGCAAGATAGATGAATCAAATTGGTTAAAAGTGGTCAAAAGGAGGAGCCATGACCTTTGTGGAAAAGTACTTGTGAATAGAGTAAAATGTGACCATTCCTAGGGGCTATTGATATGGCTCTGGAAGTGGACAGACCAAATACAAAGCCTGACTCTACCACTTATCAGCACTATGACCTGAGCAAGTTTTGTAATTCTCCAAGCCTCAGTTTCACCAACTGCAACACGGGAAATATACTACCCATACCACCAGAGTGTCGTGAGAAATTAATGATCAATAAAGGCAAAGTGGTTTAGGTCAGTTCCTAGGATACAGGAGTAACAGCAAAGGAAGCACTTGCGGGAAAGAAGTGTGGACAAGAATTGCCCTTCAAGGAGGGGCCCAGCCCACAGAGGTAACCAGGTCTGACCTGTCTCCAGCAGAAGCTTCACGATGGAGAAGTTGGAGTGGGACACACTGTAGTGAAGGGCTGTGTTCCCATTGCCATCAGCCAAGTTGACGAGCAGCTTTAGGAAGTGTGGGGAGTAAGGCTGAACCCCACGGAGGTAGGCGGCCACCACGGCAGGGCTGGATGACTTCCGGCTGGAGACTCGGAACCACTCTTGGCTGATGGTATTCAAGCTTTGCCTCTGAAACATGCAAAGATTCAGTTCCAGAAGGTCCCCTGACTTGGGGTGCTTGCCTCTTCTGGGAAAAGCCAGCTTTGGAGGCTGCCACCTTTCTCCTTCCAGCTCCCTTCAACTTGCATGTGATTTCCTCCTGGAGGGCTCAGAGTTGGTCCGCCTGGGAATGCGCAATGGATTTTGTACTTTTGGGATCAGCCCCCATATGAGTAGGCAGGATTGTGAGAGCAATGCAATTACCAGTAACTTTACTAGGTTGACGGTCTGAACCCAGTGTGTCGTCACATCCCCTGCACGCACAGGAAAATGGAGACCCTCCCTCTCACACACATGTAGCCAGCCTACATTGACCTTATCCAGGAGCTCCCAGAACTCCAGCTTGTTTTTAATAGGCATAGCTGGAGAGTGACAACACTTCACTAATGAGAAGTGCATGCTAGAAGTTAAGATAAACAATGTATTCAATTTATGCTTGAAATAAAGCTCCAACAGCTGTGCCTGAATTATCTTCAGCTTTTAAGCTTTACAAGGACCTTCAGAGAAAATGCATTAACAACCCACACAGGGCCCCTCTCTCAGGAGAGTTCCTGAGTCAATGACATCAACTCGGTGGGTGACATGACCTAAGTGTTTTAAAATGGAGCACGTTTGGATTATTTGAGTTGATAATGAGAAACTATGAGGATGTGATAATCAGAAGTTACTTTATACTCACTCTGGAACAGGCAATGGATTTGGAGTCACTAAAGCAATGTCCTGGCTCAGCTGTGTGACATTGTAAGTCATCTGCCATTGTGAACCTTACTTGTCTATTAAATGGGGATGAGAAAAAGGCTGGCTCCCTAAATGCCCCTCGCTCTAACTGATGAGGTCCTTGTGTATCCTGCATCTTTAAGATGAGGCGGGGGGTTCCTGTGTTTTTTATCCTGACACTACAGAGGTGCTGTCAGGTTTTCACATCCTGGGATTGCTCTTCTGGGCAGAAACAGTAGAATCTTTCTGGCTGAAATACTTTTTACATGCTATTGCCTTTACCTACAGAATCTTTAGGAGAATCACACATTAAGATCTTAATATTAAAGAAAACAATGGTGGATTTTAAAAGAAGAGCTTAGAAATAACTCAGTTTCTGTAGTTTGTTTAAGAAATAAGTCATAGGACTTCGATCAACATCCATATCACATCGCATTTCTTTGACAATTTGGTTATTTGCCAAATCAGCTAAGATAAAATAATGCAAATGGGCTAGGATGAATTGATTGTTTTTACTCCTAAGGTTCTTCTATGAAGAAGAACAAAAATTTTTTTTTTTTAAATGCTTGCAAGTTGTTCCACATACAGCCTTACCAGCTGCTCTGAGAATTCAAGGAAATGTGTTGGTGCTAGTATCTCTTGATCAAAACCAAGAGTCCAATTGCTATATGTTTAAACTCTGTGGACCATGAAGGAATTAAGGAGCAAGCAGATATATTTTCTTGTTTTTGGTTTCTTGACCCATATGTACACTTCCAGAAAAATTGTAAAAGCTACAGAATTCAATGTGAAGGCTTGAAGGTAATGGAGACCTGCTGTCCACCACCCTCACTTTATTAACAAAGCCCTGAGTGTCAAACTGACTTTCCCAATACCTCGCAGATGAACGGTCCTGGGAATAGAACCTGCAGTCTCTAATCCACAGGTTCTTTCCACTGTCCTCACTGTTCCACCAAGTCACGATGTAATTTGGAACCTAAGTCAGAGTCTGATGACATTGGGTGCAAGGCCTCATAAGACATGGAAAATGCCTGTGAGCCCAGCCTGCTTGCTTGTGCATGGCAGTGAGTTCCACTGTCACCACCTGATTTGCAGCCTCAGGCAGAGTTTGAGCACCAGAGGAAAGGGACTCATGCGTGCAAGCTCACACTGCCGCCTCGGGCAAGGGACCAAGTCACCCAGTTGGAACTAACAGTTCACCAGTTTGGAAATCTTTACAGGACAATGACAAATCAGAGTACCAAGAGTTGGTCAGTGGTGCTCCCGGTGTCTGGCAGCTGTTGGCTAAGGGCCTGGCATGCGTGAAGAAATTCTTCAGAGGGTTTATATCTAAAAGAAAAAATAGGTACATACTTATCAGCCTCCATATTGATAAAGGAAGGTTATTCCACATCTTGACTTTCTTTTTAATTAATTTTTTATTTTAACATTTATCCTTTTTTTTACATTTTTAAGACAATATTTTCTTCCCCAACCCCCTCAGATTGAGTCCCCATAGAATTTCCTTCCCCAAGGCACCCGTGCACCATCACTATAGTCCCCTGTCCTCCTCCCTCCCTCCCTCTGATCCCTCTCCCTCCTCCTCCCCTGCAGTAAATCTCTGGTTTATAATTGTCTGGTTTTCCTTTGTTGTGTTTTGTACTGTTATTATTTTTTTTTACACTGATGTCCTATGTGGTTCCCCTATATTCCTTTTGTAAGTGAAACCATCCGATATTTTTCTTTTTCCTTCTGGCTTATTTCACTGAGCATAATTCCTTTTAGCTCCATCCATGTTGCTGCAATGACATGAGTTTATCTTTTTTGATTGCTGAATAATATTCCGTTGTGTATATGTACCACATCTTCTTGATCCAGTCATCTATTTTTGGGTATTTGGGTTGTTTCCAGGTTTTACCTATTGCAAATAGTGCTGCAATAAACATAGGTGTACAGGTGCTCTTTTGAATCACTGTTTTTGTGTCCTTTGGGTAGATCCCTAGTGCACATCTTGATTTTCATTCTCTTCTTTTACTTCTCAGCAGCTCAAACATTCAAATTGGGCAACTTTCCAGAATAAGAGGCATTCCTCAGAACTATATGGCATCCTGAGATGAGGCCTGGTTTCTGAACTCTTCTCACTGCCTTGTTATCCTGCTGTTTTCAGGGGACAGGGAAGATCACCAAAGCATTCTGGGAGCCATAGGCAATCCCTGACATGCTGGAGAAGGAAGGGTTATCTTTCTGACTTGGGACCAAGTATTTTCTGCCTGAATGACTTGAAAAATTCAAAGAACCCAATCCATGCCGGCAAATTTCTTCACATTATCCTTTTATGAAGGATAATGCACATGCTAATAAAGCCCAAAGGAGAATCAACTCAGCTGAGGTGCTTGTAATGATAAGCACTCTTCCAGTGTTAGGACAGACTCATGGAGCAAGAAGCTTAGGCCCTAAAATCAGAGACCACGTGGAGAAGGGATAAGTAATCAATTGTCAAGACGCCTAAATCGGGGCTTTTCTTGAATTGGTCATTGAGAACCTCCACTCACCCGCCATGTCCTTATAGTAGGGCAGTCCTGCCGACCCACCTGACTCAGGTACCATTCACATCTCATCATTCCTTCAGCAACCAGGCTGGGGATGGTGATAATTGTACTTACTATTCTTATTTCTACCATTTATTGAGAGCCTACTATGTGGCAGGCACTGTGCTCGGCATTGTACTTTTTTCCTATTCAGTACTCAGATTAAACCTATCGGGTTGCATTTCACCACCTTTCACAGATGAGGAAACTGAGGCAGCAACAACTTCAGTACCTTTTCTAATGTTACTTAGTGGCAGACCTAGGATTTGAATTCTGGGGTGTCCAACTCTTGGGCTACACCACCTCCCTTACCATGAAGCCCAGGGTTGTGTCTGCATGGCTCATGCGTAGGCAGGAACCAGAAAGGGCTTGGGTTAGAATCCCCACTCTGCTTACGATGTCATTTAACTTTGCTAAACCTGTTTCCACGTCTGTCCAGTGGAAATTAAAATAATTTTGACCTTGCAGGTTTGTTAAAAGGATTATGTAAGATACACATGTGACCTTCACATGTCTGGTGCTGGGTTGGTGGTAGCTTTACATGTGGAGCTCAGTCTATGACAGCTTGTCCCGTGAAGGCAGGCGTTACGGGTGTTTAGTTCAACCTGTGCCCAGCACCTGGCCTAGACGAGACACTCACTACACATTGGTGAATGGATGGATGAACAAATGAACAGTGGATTGAAAGAAAGGGTGAATGAACATTCTTGCCCTTTCTCAGGGATCACTTGTCTCACTGGCACCCATCCAACTCACCTCTCGGCCTTGGGGAGGGGAAGTTCTTCTCTTGGTCCACTTTCCGGGCCTGCACTGCTGGTGCCCTTGGGGAGGCCCTGCCCCTCCTGGCAGCTGGGGTGGCCATCCTTGCCCGGCCTGTGTTCTGGGCCATCACACTTCTTCTCAGCCTCACTGTCAGACAAGTCTTCAGGGGAGCTGTCCTCACCACTGGTCTCCTCACTTGAGGTGGTCTCGTAGCTGGGGAAGCAAACACAGGTCACTCGTTCTGTGCTTCCTGCCCAGTGCCCATGTCAACATGTGTGAGAACTAAGTGGGCTTTAGCTGCACTTCCCAGCTTGCTAACCACATTCTCCATTCTCTGCACCCACGGGACTGGGTGACGGGACTCCTAGGAGTCTTGGATTCAGAGAAACATAGAGCAAGAAGATCTGGCTTGAATACCAGAGGCTACTGGGGGGAAGGGATAGTCAATCAAGCTTTTTGCAACACACACACATACAGCTTGTGCCCTCACTGCACTCAGATGATACAGGCAATCCAAGGTTCTCATAAATACGTTTGCTTCTGGAATTCTGATGACCGTTCAAAGCAGGGCTCAGATTTAGACAAACAGCCCTCTACCCCCATCCTAAGTTCTCTGAATTGCCTGTGAAATCTGGGTGGTTGTGAGTCCTCCCTCCCCCACTAGCCTCCATGTTCTAGTTCAACTCACATTTGATAAAGGGTGAATCACCTGTGTCTGCTGCCAGCCGTACTCCCTGGAATATGTGAACAGGTAGGAAACAACTGCCTTTCTTGCCTGCAGCCTATTTAAACTACTATTAGAAATAGTCTAAATACCTATACCCCATCAAAATTTGAGGGTATGGGCCAAATATTTGGCCCTCCCTGGCCATGATCCTTATGTTCAATCAGCTGCAACTCTAATGAGGTGGTAGACCAGAAACTGTGGAGAAAAGTCTTAGAATATTTATTGACCCCTCTGCCAATGGTCAACAGGAGACCCCTGATGAAGAACACTACAGTTCAGATGAAGACTTCAGGTTCTGGGCCACTACACCAGCCACGAGACTGGGGGTGGGGGGAAGCAGTGGCCATGGCTGCCACTAACTCCTCTAATTTCTATCTCTGAATGGTGGCCCCTCTGTAAGGCCCCTGCGTTCACCGGCATTGCAAGGCCAGCTCACATTCTGTTTTGTATAAATCCCACATACTTCTTCCTCTATTGTGCTTTTGTGATTGAGAGTGAGAGACATATTATATTTTCCAAGAAGTTCTCATCTTAAAACTACTTCCAGGGCCTCCCCTGGTGGCGCGGTGGTTGAGCGCTGGGCTGCGAGCACCGGTTTGTTCCCCGGCCCCTGGCGAGGATCCCATAAAAAAAATCCAAAAACCTGCTTCCACAAAAACTTCACCTGCAAGTGCATTTTCATTCATTCAACAGAAATTTATTAAGCACCTACTATGTGTCAGGCTCTGTTCTAAAAGGTCTACCAAAGTCCTTGCCTTGAGATTATATTCTAGTAGGGAAAGGCAGAAAATCAACTTATAGACAATATATTCAGATAATGATAAGAATAATAAGTAAAATAAAAGCATGTCATGGCATACAGAGACGGGAGAGGGGGCTACTTTTTCATAGCAGAAATTCCTAACCTTAGCTGCACATCAGAGTCACTTGGGGCTGTTTAAAATTCCCAAACCTGCCAACCACTATGGAGAGCTGTGTGGAGATTTCTGGACCTACTAAACATAGAGCTTCCATATGATCCAGCAATTCCACTCCTAGGTATTTACCCAAAGGACAAAGAAACATCAGTTCCAAAGAACACCTGCACCCCTATGTTTACAGCAGCACTGTTTACAATAGCTAAGCTTTGGAAACAACCCAAATGCCCAAAAATAGATGACTGGATCAAGAAGATGTGGTACATATATACCATGGAATATTACTCAGCATTCAAAAAAGATAAACACATGCAATTTGCAGCAACATGGATGGCGTTGGAAGGGATCATGCTCAGCGAAATAAGCCAAAAAGAAAAAGAAAAATACCAGATGGTCTCACTCATAGCAGGAATCTAGAAAACTTAAATAAGGGACCAGGAAAATGAATATAAGAAAGTGAAAATCAAAATCAACAAACAACTATGAACCAGAGACACTTTTTGGGGGGTGGGGGGCGGGAGGGGAGGGATTGAGGTCAGAATGGGGCGTTTGCAATTGTATGGGGGAATATAAAAATAAAATTTATTATTTAAATTAAAAAAAATAATAAAATAAAATAAAATTCCCAAACCTGGACTATGCCCCAGACCGGACTCTTCAGGGAAGGGACCCAGCATTGGTACTTTTTAAGGCTTCCCTAGGGTTTCCAATGTGCAGCCAAGGCTGAGACCCACTGAAGCAGAGCAACAAAAACTGAGGACAAGCAGAAGACTTTAAGCTGGACTTTGAGTCCAGAAGCCACTTGGACTTCTGGCCTCCATGAACACCAAAGCCAGGACATAATAAAAGCAGAGGATCCAAATGCAAAGTCCCAAATGGGACTGACCCCAGCATGTTTAAGGGAACGAACGTGTGTGAACAAGAGGGATGAGGCAGGCTAGCGTCCTGATGTGGACTTCTACAGGGCAAAAGGCACAGTTGGGGCACTTAAACAGAGGAGAAATAGGTCTTGCTTTAGGCTTTGAGATTAGGCTGACCATCACTGCACACGAACTGGTAAAAACTCAAAATACAATGGTTTCTCCTGGGGCCACAGTGTCTGATTCAAAAGAAGTGAGAGCAGCAATTCTAGGGCATTCCATTTCATCATGGCTGACACTTCTAGTGCAGAAGCTCCAGTGATGTTACCCTTGTTTGACCCGAATGAGCAGCGATTCCAGCCACTGTGGAGCGGCCTTCAGGTCAGAGGCTGGGCTAAATGCTCTTCCTCTAAGCTTCCACAGCATCCCACATCTCCTTCTCTAAGAGAATCCTCTCCCACATCACATATATCTGCACTTGTCTTTCCTCTGCTCAAACTGTGAGCTAAAGGCAGGGACTATGAGTTATTTGATTTGTTTCATTTCCACCGCCTGACACACTGTGGGCATTTAATAAATGTTTGTTGAATGACTGACAGAGAACATTCTAAATCAAATGAGCTGCTCTCTAGAATATATAAGGTTTGGTTTGTGTTCTGAGTCAATAGACATGGGTTATTTTTCTTTGTCTGAAAAAAACAACAACACTGATTTGGTTTGCAGTAAGTTAGTTAAAGCAAAAAAAATGAAAAGGACAGTCTGATGTTCAACAAATTATGGGTTTGTCCTGCTTTCAGAGTTGTGGTTCAGATTAAACATCTTCCTTAAAGGGCCCACGCACCCCCCAATATCCCAGAAGCCACCTGGACTCCTGGCCTCGGGGAACACCAAAGCCAGGAGATAATAAAAGCACAGGATCCAACAGACCACCACAACTGGCAAGGAGCCAAACACATGCAAACCCAAAATGGAGTTTTAAAGAGCCATTGAGATTAATTCCCTTGAAGAATGAAAACCAGATGTCCCCCCGAGGAAAAGAGAGTGCTAAGGACAACAGTGGCAGAGGTGGTGTGGAGGACAGGCTGGGCTTCACGAGTGATGCTTACCCACCGTTAACCCCAACAAACTGAAGGTTCTTTTTGGTCCCATTACCTCCTGCACGGAAGCCATAGTCTTTCTTTTTCATTATGGACTTAAGGCTGGTCGACGGGGAGATCTCTAGGCAGACACAATATCACAGGTTAGCATGACCTTGGGGATGCCCCAGAATGCAGCAAAACCGTGGCTCTTGCTTTGGGCGGGGGTACAGACGGAAGGTGTGCGAAGTTAGAAAGGGACAGGGAATTAGATAATGTCAATTAAACATTTTGAGGGGTTTTGAGGGTGCCCAGCTTTCTGGTCAACATCAGTCAAACAGTCTCTGTTCACGAAGTCCTTCTACATGGACAAGGGAGCAATGGACACTCTCTCAAAAGTGTGGGTGCCATTGTACCCCTGTCTTGTGACTGGAAATCTGAGGCTCAGACCTGCTCAGCAAGTGGCAGGACTTAAGTCCCCCGACTCCTGGTCCAGCACCCGCCAATGCTCGGGACACCTCAGTGGTCCTTCCTGGCTCACAGGCCAGCTGACATCTGTGATGTGGGGTGGGCACAGAGACACATGAGCAAGAGGACAAGTCTTTTGCTGCACTCAAAGGGCCTGGAGGCATTTCCCAACAGGCAGGACTAGAACTAGCCCTGAAATAATGAGAAAGCAGCCAATTTGTGATCTGAGGCAGGAAGCCGACCCACAGGCTGCTCAGTGAGCAAAGCAAAATGTGGTTCCACTTTACTCAGCACAGAGGAGTGTATGATCTGCTACAAGAGGAAGTGCCGCTCACCCAAATGGTGGGCTTCAACAAGAGTGCTACTCAATTGTGTGCTGTTTGTGTGTGTGTGTGTCTCTGTGTGTGCGAGTGTGTGTAAGAGAAAGAGAGAGGAGAGAGAAAATATCCAGGAAATATTTCAGGTCTCAATGGAACATTCCTCCAAAATTAGGCGAGAGGAAACCTCTAATGTGCAAGAAGCAGAGAGGACACAGAACACAAGAGTTCAGGAAACAGAGCAGCAGCGGACATTTAGAATACATCCTTGGCCCTAGACATTGCCTTTGTGCAATGCAGGTGAGAACTAGGCACCCCTCTGTGTGGACGCAGTGCAGCAGGCTTGGCAAGTAAAGTGCGGGACTGGATGTCAGCTTCCACTTACCTTCCCTGGTTGGCATCTTTGTGCCTTGCTATCTGTGCAGCTGTACAAATGTCCCTACCGTGAGTTCCAACCTTAGATCAAGGACAAGAGTAGGGATACTAAGCCTCCATAGTGACATAAATCAATTTTTATTCCACTGGGTTCCTGGCATTGCAGAAATCTTTAAAAAAAATAAAAATACTCATGCAACTAAAACCCCTTTCCCTTTGACTTGGGAGGTGAAGGAGAAAAGGTTTCCTGTCTTGGGCACTGGTATTTACCCATCGGTGGGGAGGAAGAGGGAACCGAGGCCTCCTTCTGGGGTGAAGCTTGGGCTGAGTAAGCAGACAGCAGCAGGTTGAGGGAGCTCAGCAACTGGCTCTGGATGCTGCTGAGCTTGGAGGCAGGCTGCTTGATGGCGCTAGCCAGCTCGGGGTACCCATGCTCCAGGCAGCTCCACTGTTCCTGCAGTAGCTCCTGGATCTTTTTAACATAATGCCCAATAGTGGCATCTGTGGGTGAGCTCGGTGGCTTTCCTGGACTCTCCCCTGGGCTGTCTGAACAGCCCTCCTCCTTCCCTGGGGGAGGGGTCTTTCTGCTGTCCCTCCATGAAGAGTCTCCTGCTTCTCTGGCCAGAGCCTCAGCTCCCCCCAGAGGGCCTTCCTCCTGCTCAGAGCCTGCTTCCTCGATCCTGAGCTCAGTGGAGAAGCAGCGGTGCAAAGAGGAGGTGAGGACCATGTCGGGTCCCTGTGGCAGTGACAGCTGGGGTGGCAGTATGAGTTCTGCAGGGCTCTGATCTCCTCCTTTATGACTGTCCTGCCCCCACAGGAGGCCATTCTCCTCTCCTCTGGCCCTCCAGCTTCCCAATCCTGTGCTTCCCAGAAGATTGACCCCAATGCTCTTGTCACATGACTCCCTGGTCAAGATGCCATGGAGAGGGCCAGTGTTGACCACGGCATCTGTTTGGCCCTGGGCATCTTTGGTGTTCTCGTGGCCGAGTTTTGCTGCCAGTTGAGAAATGGTGCACTCTAGCTCTCGAATCCTCTGCTCTCTAGACTTGATTTCCTCCTGCTGCTGCTGGAGGGCAGTTCTGACCCGGGCCAGTTCCTCAGTTCTTCCGGACAACTTGCCCTCAAGGTCCAAGAGCTGCTGTTTCAGACTGGAGATGCTTCTGGGGTCCATCCTGCTAAGGCCCAGGTTTTCCTCTGAGACCTGGGTGTCAATGCTTCTCACATCTACCTCTATAGGTGGTGGGGGTGGGATCTCACTGATGTTGAGCTCAATTTCTTCCAGCTCATTTTCCGGGATGGGTGATGGCAGAGGTGGGGGGCTCAGTGATGGGGAGCCAGGGGTGACCACCACTTCTGCTTCTCTAATATTGAATTTGTCTTCTGCATCCTCTAGAACTACAAGTGCACTCTGAGATGAGAAGGGAGGACCTGGGAGAGAAAACTGATTTGGAACCTCTTCTGTACTCTCTGGAGGCTCAGCCCCCTCCTGGACCAGCTCTGGAATCCCTGGCACCAGGTCTCCAAACTCTCTGACTTTTGGCTGGACTGATGCTCGTGAGGAGGGGCTGTGAAGACCTACAAATCCTTCCGCAGGACCAAAGGCGCCATCACAGACACTGCCTTCACCCTGAAGTGGAGGGAGTGTGGGGGGATTGTAGTGGAAGCTCGTGTCCTCTGAGGCCCTGTTTTGCAGCAGTGTGGCTGGCATGCTGGATGCTCTTAAAAGTTGGGGTCGTCCACTCCCAGAGGTGAGTTCAGTGTTCCCGGGAACGGCAACCTCTAATTGTTTGGCAGTCTCTGCCAGCAAGGCCTTCCTGTGGTAGCTCATCTCACTACCACCAGCACACGCTTGGGGGGCATCACCAAGCGGCAGAGACTGGGCTCTCTCCTCTGTCCTGAGTAACACCTTCCTTGGTGCCAACGGCGACCAGTTTTGGTGGGGAAAAGCAGCATGGGGGTGAGCCCCACTGTCAGGAAGGCTGAAGTTTCGGGGCAAAGTGCTAAACTTGGCCTGCTTGGCCCTTCTGTGGATAGGGATCCTTCTGATGGTGTTCCCTTTCTCGATGTCGTCCACATACTTGAGGAAGTCCAGGTCTAAATGAAAGCCATATGGGGTCTCCACGGAGTAAGGGTGGCTCTTTGGAGGATCTTTCTCTTCATCCCCCTGAGAAGACTGGTCTTTGGCTATGAGACAAGACAGGTTAAAAAAAAAAAAACAAAGTATAATGTTAATAAGAATTACAAGCCAGTGAGGCCTAATGTCTGTGATTTTGACTGCATGCCCCCAGATGAGACTTTTCCTAAGTGTTGCAGTCTCTAAATTATGTTGAAATGCTCACAGTGTTTTCAGTTGTGCTAAAATGTCATGAAAACAATGTGTACTTAGCCCATGCCTGCAAGAAAATAGGCAGAAGGAGCAGCTTCCATTTTGCAGTACGCCATCCCAGTGACTTCTGTGGAATCTGTCTGCGAACCAGCAAAATTAAATTGTCTCATACTATTGTTCTGGCCTGGAATCATGCAATTGCTGAGCTGAAGTGGCTAGGAATTTGCCAAATTAGGGTACTCATTGATAATTATGGACATGGAAGATTTCAAAGGCTGAGAAATACAACTGTCTCAACATTAAAAAAAAAAATCTGAGGGGGTAAAAAAATAAAAATAAAAAAGAATCTTGAATTACTCAAATAGGGTCTTGCTAAAGCCAGGAAGTCAAGGAGCTATGACTTCTCAGATGCCTGAGCCTCCAAGTGTGGGAAGATCAGAGAAATTGGAACGTATATTCATGTCCTACCCATGATCTTTTCCACCTGAAAACTGCTTAGTGCTTCACAAATGTGAATTTCATTTTCAAAAACTCATGCCAAGTGAGGAAATACCACATTTTTTCACAGACTGGGGAAAAGGTGATGAGAGAAAAGGGCCTTTTAACATCAAAAGGGACATTGGCGCACATCCTTGAAGACTTTTCGGGGTGCCCCAGCCTATCACGGGACGCAATGAGAAAATGTGATGATGGGAAAATTCCCCATCACACCAAGCTACCATCTTATTGACTTCAACAGAGGATGCCAGAAACAAGTGAGGCCTTTGAATATTTGAAGTCCACAGGGACTTGTTTCCAAGTAGCTTTTTCTTCAGATTAAATAGTCTTTGTTCCTTTGATGTTCCTCACGTGAGAGCCCTTATTATCTGTCTCTCTGACATTCTGCTGAACATGCTTTGAAACTGTCGAGCTCAAGAGAGAACAAAGATGGAGCACACAGAGGACAGAATATGGACTCTGGAGTCTGGTGCGCATCATAGCTCTGCAGTCTCAGAGAAAATACATAGCCTCTCTGTGTCTTTTGATCTATAAAATGGGAATAATCTGGTAAGATGAGATTCTTGTGAGGATTGATTAATTAATAATATAAAGTGCTTAGAACAATGCCTAGCACATGACAAACATCCAGCATGCACTCAATATCATAGTTACCATCTTTGGAGAGCCCAAAACACTGAGGCCAGAAGCCCTTTAATGGAAGGTGATTTTCTGGATACACAGGAGGAGACCCACAAATTTGTGCTCAATCAACTGTTTGGTTCTAAGGGTAATAAATCTTGGGGACAAAATGATATAACGGGAGTAATTCAGTTCATTTACCTGACCCACTATTAATTGATCATCTGTGTGTTGGTTGCTAAGCTAGATCCTAAAGACACGGAGATGAATCAATTATGATGAATCAGACTGCTGACAAGGCCAAGGTGACAGAGGATGAAGATCATGGAAGGACAGCAGTAGGTGAAGAGAAGATATAAATGAAGTGCACCTGGGGCACTCCTGGGGTTGGTTTCCCTCTATGGGTGATGACATACCAGGACTGAGCTCTTCCCACTTGCCTCCTGACCCCCCTTCTCCCATCTGGTGCCACATGCTTGTCAGATGGCCCTTGTGCTTGGGCAAGTGTAGTTACCTCCAGAGAACTAAATACACTAAACAGAGCAGACTAGGCACATAAAGGCTGAACTCACAAACGCTGACACAATGGAACCCACCAGCCTCAATGCTAAAAATGGCAGGGTCTGTGGACAATCCCAGCTAGAGCAGGGAACAGAGGCAGGTTTTGGTCCTGATCCACAGATGGGCCTCATTGGTTCCAGAGCTTCTGTGCTGGCAGATACCTGGACTTCATACTGCTAAGAAGTAAATGCTTCTCTAGCACCCAGAAAGTTCTAGATAATATCACATTTGCGCATACACATTTTTTTTATAGAGGCACACGGGCAGTTCAGTAGCTTTCTCAGCTCATTGCTTGATCTCATTGGCTTTCCAAGCTTCACTGAGCAATACTTGTAGGTTGATTGGTCCACTCAGCAGCCTTACATTAGAGTGACAAGCCAAATCTGAGAGGATGAACTCTGTCCAAAGTTATAGAGAGAACAGAAGCCAAAGAACTCTCCTTAAAGCATTATTTATCTGCTTATTGACTCGATTCAGTAGAAATGTGCTGATTTACCTAGTGGCCTCTGGGAGCAGGTCCAGAGTACAAATACAATAATAGCATTAAATAAGAAACAGCAGATTCAGGGGGTAAATCTTCCACAGGGGAGATGAGGAAACCAAAGAAGTCTGTGACACTAAGCAGCTACCAGAGGGGTGGGTTTCATAGCTCGGGCTAGGACATCTTTGTCTCAGTATCTCTCTCTCTCACACACATTACACTGCCCTGCCTGCCATCTGCTGCTCCGTGTGCCTTCTCTTCATCCCAGTGCAGAGAACACTGGAGCTTGAACAAGGGAGCTTGTGCTGATTTGCTGGGAGACCTACACTCACACTAGCTCTGCTCCTGTTAAGTTTACCTGGGGACAGGGATGCAGGAGCTCAGAATTCTGGGCATCGAGCCAGGGCAATAACTACTTTTGGAAGACTTTCTGTCCAGAATGGACTTTACATGGGCTAAGCCAATACATGGCCAACAAGCTGGATTTGAATCCTAGCTCTGTCATCTACCTAAGTGATTCTGGGCAAATTATTTAATTTCCTTAGGTCTCAATTTCTCTGTAAAATAACAATAATAAAACCTAGCTTAGAGTTGTTGTGATTGTTGGCAGTAATGCAGTAGAGAACAAAACACAGTACTTGACCAAGGAACTGAAAGGCAAGGAGGGCTTGGTTCTGAATGGGGCAAGGGAGGATTCACAGGGGATGTGCACTTTCCCTGGAATATGTACCTCTCTGTTGGGAGTACAGCCTCAAGAGGGAGGGAATGAGAGTCCCAGTAAACAGTTCTGGAAAAATGGAGAAAATGAGTCAGGGGAGAATAAAATTAGAGGTTCAGAGTTACCTAGACTTTTCTGTAGAGTTGTTCTGAAAGCACGCCATCTCACAAGACCCTTGGAAAGGACCTATAAACACAGGCACCAGCCTCAGAGTAACACACAGACATGAGAAAGGGGTTAGGTGGGGACAGGAAAGGATGGAGGTGCCTCAGTAATTATCTCTGAGGAATGAAGTGAAATGTGGCAGGTGAGCAAACCGATCAGAGGTACTTAAAGTGAGGGGGAAAAGTCCAAAGCCTCAATTCAGTTTCTGAAGGAAATGTGAAAAACAGAAACTAGAAAGTGGCTAAAATAAAGCCAGAAAGAAGGGGAATTAAGTGAACCTCTTCAAAAAGTCCAGACAATGAGGACAGAAGCTTTTCCCTTTTCTGCCTTTATTTTGTGAGGTGTGCAGAGGAACAGGGGGAGGAAGCTGAGCAGGGAGGGCAGCTGATTACAGGCCCCCATGGCATGAGGGAATGAGCTGGTGTTCTGTGGGATCACTTCCAGGGAAGCACTGAAAAGGCCGATCTCTGGGGAGAAAGGCAGACTCTTGAAGAATATGGCGACTGCATTTGGAAAGAAGGAAGAGGCAGGACTGCAACTGATGTCTGGTCCCTACATCCTGTGCCAGTGAAATCCATGTGACTCAAAAAGGGATTGTAGGCTCTCCTGTTTCCTGACATTTGGTGATCTGGAAAAAATATTTTATTAGAAGGAGATCTGGGCCTCCCCTGGTGGCGCAGGCGGTTGAGCGCAGCGCTGTGAAGCTGTCCGCAGCCTCTGCAGCGCCGGTTCGATCCCGGCTGGCCAGGGAGATACACACATGGCGCGGCAGACCTCTCCTGTCTCGCCCGCTGCTCCCCTCAGCAGTGTATTTCGTCAGTCTGCCTGTTCTGTTCCTCGCTCTGTCTCTGGTGAATCCTCTCACCCTCCTGCGCATCTGGCCTGTACCTCAGTTCTTGTATGCATGAATAAATAAATCTTTAAAAAAAAAAAAGTAAGGAGATCTGTGTCCAGTCTATGACCTTCAACAAGTTTCCCAGGGAGATGAAGAGGGGGGCACTCATGGAGGCACTGATTGTGCTAGACAGTTATTACTCGACAACTTGACATCCATTGTCTCATTTAGTCCTTTACCAGCCCTATGAAGTAGGCATTAATGTCTGCTTACAGAGGAGAGTGATAGACTGTCTGCAAAAATAATCGCAGTTACATCCCATCCTTGAGTACTCTCCTCTCACACTGACCATGGACTTGGACTTGTGATTTGCTTTGCTCGGTGGGTCAACAGCAAATGTAATCTAAGCAGAGACTTGAAAACTGCTTGTAGTTGGGATATGTCTGTTTTGCTGTGTTAGGAACCCTTCTTTCACCATGTGAACACCCCCCAGCCAGCCTGCTGGATGATGAGAGACACATCACCAACTCATCACCGGCACCCCAGGTCATATGCAGTCAAACAGCACATGTGAGGGGGGCCATTCTAAACCATGTGGCCCCAGTCAAGACACCTAGAAGACCACAGACCTGCGCACAAGTCTAGGAGAGATCACCCAAACAAGAATACTGGCTTGCCAAACTATTTTTGATTTAAAAAAATGCATGTCTTTAAGTCAATACATTGTTTGAGTTGTCTGTTACACAGCAAAGCTAATGGGTCCATGAAGGGACTGAGGCTCAGAGAAGTTAAACGACAGACAGAATCACACAGGCTTGAATGGGGGTCCTTTCTATTATTACTGCTTTCCTGGGTTTTGAGGTCCTCGTCTCTGAAATGAGGATAACGAATGGGGGCATCCTACTCTCTACTTGGCACGTGGAAGAGATGAGAAAGCACTCTGAAAATGATGCAAATCCAACAGAAACATAAAGCTTCTTTCTCATTCCCTGCCACCTGCTACTGTTCAGGCCTACAGTAGTACATGGTCATCCAGCACCACCTGTTTGGGGGCTGTCACCTGTGGGCTCCCCTAGGTTATTGCCAGGATTTATAGTAACCCACACCTTCCAACCCAAGTGCTCACTTTAGACCAGAGAATACAAAGCAGTCGCCTACCATCTGTCTTCTCCATCTTAGGAAATGCTGACCGTCAGCCTCTCAGCCACTCTTCATCCAGTAAGTCTGTAAAATTTGTTGGAGAGTTCTGAAAGGAAGGAAGATAGAAGAGAGGGAGCTCATTAGAATTAGAATAAGTATGGAGACCAACGAAAGCAACAACCATCCCGCCTTTCTCCCAGGGGTGCTCAGAGCCTCCAAGGAGGGAGATTAAAAACCTATAAACATTCCCAGAGTTTAGTTCTAGGGATGCCTTCTTGGAACATTAGCAGTGGTTAACACCAAAGGGAGCATTTGATCCAAGCCCCTCACTTGGCAGGCGAGGACATGGAGGTGAGAAGTTAATTGCTGTGCGCAAGGTCTCTCAGCGCATCAGTGAAGGAGGTGGATCCAGACCGAGGGCTCTTGACAACCAGCCTGGTATTCTTTCCATAAGATCAAGAGCTGAAATCTACTTACCCCCATGCCTGTAAAAGAATTATAATCCATTTTGTGAAAAAGCTGGAATTAGTGTACATCTGTATGACTGGTGACGTCCCAATCCAATCCAAGACAAAGATGAGGTAATTGCAAGTACTGACAAGGAGCTGATATTACAGGTGATTTCTAACCACAGCAGAACAAGGGGAAGTTTGATCTTACTGACGAGAAGACATCAGTGACTATTCAAGCAGAATACTGTCCTGACTCTGAATTAGGTAGGGTGCCTTGAGGTTTGATCATAAATTCTCCCCAAAGTCTTAATCCCTTCCCAGGACTCTTTCTTCAAATGATAAACAACCTGGCTGCTGCCCCTGTGACAATAAATCACCCAGGAAATTGACTTTTTATGATTGTAACTGCACACACATCAGAATAATGAATTATCTGTTACCTCCCAGGAGTGGAAGCAGGGCTGTTTCAGGAATTCCAATGTGCTTTACAATGAACTCCAGACCAAAATATCTGGACCAGTGAGGAGGGAAGCACTGGAGAACACAGAGTGAGAGAAGGATGAGGAGTGGCCCCAGTAACCCAGGATGGAAAAGGGGGAACAAACAAATTAACTGGAGAAGAAACATCAGGCCCACCCAATAAGAGGAAGTCTGAAGTTTGCCAATAGAAAGCTTTGTGTCCCCTTGTTCTGAGCACTGCGCTTGCCCTGGGATCAGTGCTGTTTCCTGCCTTGGCTCCTCCAAACCTTGGTCCACATACCTGCCAGAGGGGCTTCCCTGTGCAGATACGACAGAGCCTTGAGGAGTCAGACCCAAATATAAGCAGGGCCACTTCTTGTAGAATGAACACTGACACTGAACACCTCACTTACCTCTGAGGTGACCAGAACTTGAGTTTGGGGCGGCGCAGAACTGGAGAAGAGAATGTAGCTAAGGAGGGTGACATGGTCCTGGAGGCAGAGTGTGGTTGTTAAGGAGGTAACCGTGGAGAGGACTAGACGGTTCTTACTTGGGTCAAGGGAGGGTCACCCTTGTTTTAAAGAGAAGGTTTTGTCATGGATGAATCGATAAAGAAGTTGTGGTATATATAACGGAAAATTATTCAGCCACAAAGAAGGAAATTCTGACATTTGGAACAACATGATAAGACCTTGAGAGCATTATGCTAAGTGAAATAAGCCAGACAGAGAAAGAAAAATATTGTACACTATCACTCACATGTGGACTCTGAACAACAGAACTCATAGATACGGATAACAGATTGATGGTTGCCAGAGGGAGGGAGAGGTTGGGCAAAATGGGTGAAGGTGGATAAAGGTAAAACTTCCAGATATGAGATTATTAAGTCTTAAGGATATAATCTATAGCACAGTGATTATAGTTAATAATACTGTACTGTGTATTTGAAAGTTGCTGAGAATAATCTTAAAAGTCCTCATCACATGGTTCACGGGTGAAGGGTGGTAGGAATTTTATGGGGACTACACCTGGGAAAAGAAAGCAGACATTGCACAAACATGAACAATGATATGTGTGTGTGTGTGTGTGTGTGTGTGTATATATGTATATAATTTTTTTTAAAAGTTCTCATCACATAATGCTAAGCAAAATAAGCCAGGACAAACACAAATACCAGATAATTTCACTTATATGTGGAATACAGAGAAATAAAACAAATGGCCAGCCAAAACCAAACCAACAACTCACCCTAGAAATCTGAGTGTGGAACTGAGGCTACAAGAGGGGGAGAGGGAAGCCACGGTGGGGAGGGAGGGGCTCACTGGACTGCGGTGGAGGTGAATGCATTGTGGTGACAGGTACCTGAGAAGGTGTGATCAAAGCCTCAGAATCATACACGCATTGGAAACCAATGTTACCTCAATGAAAAAAAAGTTCTCACCATGAGGAAAAAAACCGTGACCATGTGTGGTGATAGAAGTTACTAAACTCCCGGTGATCATTTCATAATACATATAGACAGCAAGTCATCAGGTTACATACCTAAAACTGATACCATGTTAAATCACAGTTATACTTCAATTTAAAAATAAATATAAATTTAGTGAAAGGAGATAAGAGAAGGATCCCCGGCAGACACTGCTGCTCATGTCAATGCCACCCGTCTGCAGTCCGCAGGTGGCAGGAGCAGCCTCCCAGACCTGGCAGGCAGAAGCAGCTCAGCAGTGTCAAGACGAAGCCTGAGAAGCGAAGGCTGAGGACACAAACCCTAAGTTTGCCCCTTACCTCTCTCCTGGTTCCCCGCTTTCTCCCACCCCATAACTTTCCTGAGAAAAGCAGAGGACAGACACTTGACATAATTGAATGGTCTCATGCGACCCTCACCAGAACACAAAGTCAGTTATTCTGTGCCCATTTTTCAGATAAGGAGACTGACACAAGTGTTGGAGCAGGACTTGGCGAATCCAAGCCTGTGCTGGAGAAGAGATTTGTCAATACTTGCCCTCCCCTGCCGATGCTAGGCCTGAGCCCTAGTGTTCTTTTCAGGGGGGATGGGGGTTGGGGAATGGGGCTTTCCTGTTTCCCCCACAAGGGGACCTGACACCGGCTCTCTTGTGAGACCTCACGAAGGTGCGACCTGCTTCTCCAAGGCTGGACTCCAAGCAATAAGGCTACTTCCAAGGAAGAAGTGGTGCCCTGCGCAGATGCACCTTTGCCTGCACCCTCTCATCGACATTTTGGGGGCTCAATCACACCCAGAGCCTTTGGTTAGAGTTAGGGATTCAGCCTTCATAGATCAGAGCACAGGGTTTCAAATAATTATGCAGCACACATTAGGTCAAAATTCATTAAAAAGAACTCTAAAGAGACCTCTAATAATTCTCTTAGACTTCAATTTAGCTAAAATCAATCATTCCAAGGCTACAAAAATTAAATGGAGCCGACATCTCAATTCTCTGAAGGGGAGAAGCCCTATAAAGCTCTAAATGGGACCCAGCTTCTGAACTTTTGCTCATGGTAGTTTATAGGGGACATTTTGCATTTTAGCTAAAGGGGTTTTCTACGAGTTGGGTGGGTGTTTGATGCGGCTAGGTGAGTGGAACTGAAGAATAATTGCCTCATCAACAAATGCTCCTTTGTTTGCAATACAATAGAATATGAAAATAATTATGTTTGGACAGAAATCCCTTTTAAATGAAATCTTGTGACCTTCTGGAGCATTTAAAATTTGACATAAAGCAATTTATTACTCATTTTGTTAAGTTGTATCCCTTGTGTTCAGAACCATGTAATACCTGGTGTTGTTATGTAACGATGCATCTGTTTACATTCTATCCCAGATCAAAGATGCCCAATTAGGTCCCAGCCCCTCTTACTAGCTCATCGTATTATAGATGTTTTGCATATATATAGCTTTATCTCTTTCTAGTTCTTCTTCCCTGCTAATCTGTAAGTTTACGAAGGGCAGAATTCCTGCAGAACTCATGCCTGCCTGCGCCCTCAACAGCCCTATATCCTAACACTTGATACTCAGTCCACAGTACTCACAGGAACAAAATGACCTGGCTTCCATGGAAAGAAATCCACAGGTGCTGAGCCTCGACTGGGGCACTGTTATTGGGTAGAATATTTACCCTCACACACATAATCCTGGGAAATAGGTGTCATCTCCAAGGCACATAGCGACTACATAGCCAATCCAAAGTCTCCCAGTTAACTACCTAATGGCAGGACGGTTTGTGTGACTCCATGATCCCCCACTGCCTCTGAAAGCTGCTGGGCAGCCAAGAGGAGGGAGCTGAAGCTGCCTATTCAAAATGTACCCAAAATACAGTCTCTGACAGACAGCAGGGGTAGCTATGTGTGACTGTACCAGGCCACATAAAAAGGTTTCAGCAGGGCCCAAGCCCCAGGGCATGGATTTGCCCTGGAGTCAGCAGTACCCAGCTCCCTCCCCATTTTCAATTGCATTTCTAACCTCAGCTCCAAATACAAAGAAACCTTCCCTTCGTCTTGAAAATGAAACCTAGTTCTGCACGTTTGTTCTCCTCAAACCTCTCTTTATTCTGCAGTAATAATAATGCCATATTTCATCCCACAACAGGCTGTATGCCAAAATAAATAGCACCTTGGATTTCCTTGAAAAGAAAGCTTGGCTCACAGCACAGCCTTATTGCCACGAGAATTCTTGGAGAATTCAAACTCACAGAGTCAAATGTTTAGCAAGGTAGCACTCCCAACAGCAGTCCTGTCAGTCCCTCCAAGATCACTTGCAAGGACAAAGCACTCTGTCCAAGGAGAAAAAAAAAATGACCCATACCACGAGCCAGTCTGGCCAAAAAGATGAGAGCATTCTGTTTCCTCATTCCAGGCCCCCGCCTCGTCAAGTGTAAATGTCCCCTGTGCTGAGAAGCAGGGGGCATCTGAGCGCTGTTACTTAACATTGAGAGGGCTGAAACCCAGATGCCGGGAGGTGAGACGCACTCCTGGAAAAGATTCTGCTTACCGAATTCTCTGCCCACACGGGAAACAAAGAGATAACTCGTTCTCGATAAATGATACGTTACCACAATCCCATTAACTCGTTCCCACATTTTTCTGCCTGCAATGCAGCAGCTGAACCTGAGGCTTCCTGAAGACGAGAAAACAGTCAGGAAGAAAGCTGCGACCACATTACCTCTCCTTGGCATCCTCCCGCCGCCACAGCCCGCAGCCAGAGGAGTCTGCCTCCCGGAAAGCAAGGTTCGGGCTACTGGACCGAAGCTGATTGCCCAGGAGTTCAACACCTCAGCATCGGCTTCCCAGCTGTTAAAGGGTTTGGTCAGGTGATCCGTGACCTTGCTGGGAAAGCAAATACTGACTTCCTTTCGGTTCCCGGGAACAAGGGAGTGGGGTCAGGAAGGGATCCCGCGCTCAATAAGCTGATACTGGATCCTGCAGAGAGGAAGACAGCTCAGATCTTTCAATTGCAAAGTTAGTTCCCGGGGCTGTTACCACCTGGGAGGGACACATCAAAAGACATAGAAACAGCACACACCTTCATTCTCCAACTTCCCCAAATCTGCGTGCTCTTCTGCGGGGTGGCAGTGGGTAGGTAGAAGGGTGGGGGTGGTTATTATTATGTTTTTTCTTCTCGCCCCCAGCTGGTGTGACTCATTAATATGGTATTGCTAATGGGGACACAGCTTCCTTAGGTGCTAAAACCCTCCAGTGGCGCATTTCTTTCTACCTGGCATTGCTTTTAGAAACTTCCTCCCCCACCTGCCTTCTGGGGTCCCACAACTCTGTGAAGCTGCTTGGAAACCCAGAATTCTAGCTGCCCTGATCATTTGGTGACTGGGGGTGTATGGGGCAAAGCCAGAGACAGAAACAATGACCAGTGAATTTCCGGGGCCAAACTAGCAGCTCCCCCTTCCTGCTGCTCTACCAATCTGCCGTCCAAGCCCCGGAATGCACCCAGTTCTGGCAGAAAAGGAAAAGCAAGAAAGTACCTTCTGTAAGGATCCCGTTCCGGGCAGGGTTTCTAACTGCAACACAGATCAGTGACTTCAGAGGGCCAGATGCAAGCGCCTGGGAGAAGGTGGCAGCAGAGGAGAAAGGTCTGGTGTCCGAGGCAGCGAATGTCAGCCCACTGAGGCCACAGCTCTTTGGAGAGCTCTTTGGAGGGACAGGTATGCAGTGCGAGGCATAGAGGCTCCAGGATCTCCAAACCCAGCATTGAACCTGAAGGAGCTACAGGGGAGTGAATGCAGTCCAAAGGGGCCAGGAGGACAGCTGTACTCCTAAGCAAGCTCAGCAAACAGATAATAGGGACCTCCAGCCAAGTGAGGCTGCCTTAGGAAATGAAGCTCAGTCATTAAGACATGCCGAAGCAGCTCTGACCTTCACAGACATCAAGATGAGCTTTCAAAGGCAAGGGCAGATTCCTGTCTGCCCAATGCTGAAATTGATGCCAGCACTGAATGTCACCCTTGAAATGCTGCCTGCATCCAGCCCAGGACACTTGGAAAGCACTTCACATCCAGGACCCAATTATCCTCATACCAGCATAAGGCATCCAGGATCCCTGTTGTACAAGAAATGAAAGGCAGTCTACATGACTTCTCTTGGCTCAGCTGGGATTTATCTGGATTAAAATGAAGATTCCTGAGATAGAATTTAGTGCTCTTCCCACCATACTGGATCATATTTCTTATTCTCCTTCAAGATGCGAGTGCATTTTGCTCAAGAGGGAGGTTAAGAGTTACACTGAAGGGCACAGAATGATGTGAAAAATGAGGATACGGAATACCAACACTTTTCTCAAATGCTGAAAGTAATTTTCTGCATTAACTGAGTGCACAGATCAAATCATGAGAATGAAAAAATATTTATCTTGAACTCTGATTATATAAAAAATATACTGAGGAGTAAACTGCCTCTCTGATAGATTTTTAAATAATTGTTGTTGCTCACAAATTGGCTGGAGAATGGCTAGAGAGTTAAGACATTTCACCAGGAAGCTGAGTGAAAAAAATTATCTTACCAAGTCCCGTGACTTCCAGCCACCCACTCTCCCCCTCTGGTTTATCTATGTAATTATGATAAGCATTTCCCCCTTCTCCAAGGATAAATTCTTCTTTCGGCAAGATAAAGAGGTGACAAGCTCTCTTCCAGAGCTGTGTTGCAAAACCCAACATTCCTCAGGGACACTATTCCATTTCTCCCATGACCACTTCCGCTCAGCCCTCCAAACTTCCATTCAGCACCCCGTCCAAGTACAGGAATCATCCTTCCTGCCTCTCCTGCTCCTGTCTGCTGTCTACTGATGCAGGGACCGCCCGATTCTAATTGCTGCCTCTGTGTCTGTCCCCAGGATTAGCATCACAGGGAGATGCTCCAGCAAGCTTGTGACAAAACCCACAATACCTAAGAACTAAATGGGTGATTCTCCAGGTCCTCCACTAAGTGCCAAGGGAGCACCTCTGTTTTTCCAACAGGCTCCAGATCTCTCATCAGATTAAAAAGACAGTAGAATGCAGGGGAGGAAATAGAAACACCTACCAGTGCCACTGGCTCGAATGCCAGGAGAGAAGACACCCAGAAAAAAAGGACTCATGTATACATCACT